ATTCTCAATTTCTAATAAGTTGATACAATAATTATTAAAACATTGCTGTATGGGATTCCTTTAGTGCCAAACGTATGTTCTGTGTCTATGTAAGGTGACATGTCTGTGCTGTAGCTAACGTGGTGTTCTGACCCACAGGTTTAGACTCATGCTCTAAACTTTTTAACTTTCTTAAGTCAATGTTTAAGATGAAGTTCAAATGAATCTCTTTATGTCTATACAACTGAATTAATTTTTCATCCCTATGGGATCAATAAGATATTTTTGATTTGAATTAAAACGCTTAGTTTTTTTTCTGTGTGATAAAAACAAAACAAAACACTTGGTTCAGTTCAAAATACCAAACACCACTGTACGATATTTATGAATAATCCTCATCTCGAAGCAACATTCACAACCACGTCCAGCACAAGGGGAAAACGGGTTCAGGTGAGGCTGCATGGTGGCACAGTTGGTAGCACTACAGCTGCGTTTCCATTACAAATGTGAGCAAAAGTTTGTCAACATTTCATTAATGTAAAAAAAAACAAAAACACTGTAGTTGGTTTTAAAAGAGACCTTGTGCAGCGCTGCATACAACGCTTACCTGCTCTCTCTTTGGTGAAAATGTTAAAATCTCTCCCATCTGTCACGTTTTGTTAACTTGCGTTATAACTGTGAAAAACTACTGAGCAGATTTTAAACCTGTGGAGAAAGCCCTGTGGAAACCTGATGGTCTATGACGCTGTGGGAGCCATCACAGCAGGTGATGACAGGCTTTTCTGTGATCTCCTGAAACACTGACAGGTTTATGGTTCGTGTAATTAAAGACATAAACAGGCAGAATCAGTCAGGCAGAATGTGGCATGAAAGGAGGGCGAGGTGAAGAGGGTCAATGATGTTTTGATTCTGGTTCAGGAGGCGGAGGATTCCCAGATTTTAGACAATTAGGAAAGGCATTCCATCTGCTGCATGCTCATGTAAACCTTGAATTTTGTAAAGCGATGAGAGACTTTCGAGTTTCTTGGTAAGAACATCTGAAATTATTTTTTAAAAAAAAGTCATTAAATAGCAGTAGCATTGAGGGGTAGCATGTTGCATAATGATTTCAGCGTCCTTCGCGTTTGGAGCTGAACGGGACAGGGAGCAGGGTGTTCCCGGAATGGGAACAAGGTCCGATTCTGAGAACAAATGTTCCTGACAACACCATCACCAACCCTCGGACTGCAGCGGCCTCAAAGTAATGGAGCATGGAGAAGAAAAGAGGAAAAAAAGGAAGGGAAAAAAGAAAAAGAGTGAACGCAGCGTCGACTTATAAAGAATTGAGACCTCAGAATCTCAGTGAGATTTTACTGTCAACTGTTCTGTTATTGGGAATAAAAACATAAAACATTTCAAGTAATCACAACTAACAGCTCTTGGTGGCACAAACTACAAGAACATTACATAGATATTTACAAAACAAAAGAAGATTTTGATAATTTATATGTGCTCTATAAAGAAGGATCGATGATAATAACACTTAATTTGATTTTGCATACTTCTATTTCATTTCCATTTAATGTTGGTCTTAGACATAAAATGTCCCTCCTAGCATAGACGCACTTTGATTTCACTTACTTCTTAAAATCAAACCCTGTTTAACAATGAAGAACTGGTTTAGTTTATTTTGTATCAAGATAGTTATTAAGAAATTAGTTTACAAGTACAAGGATTGTTTTTACACATAACAAATAACTTGGGTCCTAGTACTAAGCCTTGTGGAACACCTCAAGATATTATACTCGGCTGAGATTCTGATTTTTTTTTTTTTACTTGCTTTTAGATAATGCTTCAACATGTGATTTGTAACATCTCTCGTTCCACATCGTACCTGTTTTTGAAAGAGTAGTGTAACGTCTAAAATCAATAACATTGCCTGAAACATGCCTACTATCATCATTTTCACCTTCTTCTAAAAGAAGTTGTTTTTAAAGTCTATGTTTACATTGTATTTGCTAGAAATCAGTTTGGCTTTCCTGTGACAAGTTTCTCACAGCGGTTTGCTGGAGTTTTGGTCCATTCCTCCTGGCAGAAGTGGTGTAACTGGGTCAGGTTTGAAGGAAATTGAAACCCATAGTTGAGCCAGACTTTCGGAGGCCTGACGATTCCTTCCTGAACTTTCCGTGAAGTCACCAAACTGACGCACTTCTAGTTGAGTCAAATGCGGGTTGACCAATCACAAGATAAACCATGATGCAGACATTTAGGATTCGCTCCTAAACTGCTCACAGACATGGCGATCTTAATACGTAAATGTCTCGGTTAAAAGAACGCAATGAGAAATTCTAGAAAAAACCCAACTTGCTCATTATTCTGGAATTTAGCGAGTCATCTTGGTAACCCTATCTGAACCTAAACCAGGAAAGTTTAGTCGGATTTAATGCCAGATGGTGACATTAAACCACAAATCTCTAATCTTTACCCTTTCTGCTTTCAGTAAACAATGCATTCATTTTGTCCGTACGGTACTGGGGAAGGAGGTCAAGTTTATTTCCAATTAAATTTGAGGAAAGGCGTCATTTCCTCAGGCATTCCAATTGAAAAGACGTACAAACCAAAACATGCTGAGCTGTTTATGTCACCATGGCTGGAAGAATGTAAACTGGCTCTTCCCCACTTCTATTCATCAATGAATGCCGGGATACTTGAAATGTTTTTTTTGTTTGTTTTTGCGCCTTTTCCATTTTATTCATTCCTGCAGTCACAGCCCGGCTCTGTCAGACTGACTGGAACCCGTTTGGTACTGTAGATTAGCAAGCTAACAACTGGAGATGATCCAAATTGAAGGCCCCATTATCTGTAAATGAACAAGCAATGTCCTGAATAGTTTTTGCATAAGGCAATCCAACATCAAAGCTCACTCTGTAGCCCAGATTCCCAGTTCTGACTGGGCTGAATGTCATGAACAATGTGCTCTAATTTCCAAGAATTCTTATTATGTTCCTTCAGTTAGGGTCTGCATGGGACGGCCGCGGGGGGTTTAGGATTGTTGTGGTTCGTTCCAGTGGAGGATAAAACAGATGAAGATGTTTGTATTCCTCCCCCTTTTTTCAGGGCATTGCTGTGGATAAAGTAAAGAAAGAGGTTTTGACTTTATGTGATGGATTTCCCTCGAGTGTTCAAGAATGACTTGAAGTATGTTTGGAACAGCCTCTCTTTTTCCAGGAAAAGTATGAGGTTTTTCTTTTTTTGCGGGGCGTAGGGAGAATGTGGATAACACTAGCGTTGGGGTTTTGCTTGGGTTTTAATAGGTACACATGCCCTTTGTTGATGTGTTTTATATTGACGTAATTATGTTTATATTAGTAAACTGTAAGATTTTCAATTTGAATTTTATTTCAGTGTTTCAATATCAAAAACTCCTCAAAAATACAAAGAGATTGTTCTTAAAGAGTGCAAATTATAAAAACTTATTGGAAATGTGTTTCACCCATAAGATAAAAGGGAATATCATGTATTTTACAGATACATTGTGGCATTTTCTTGCACATTATATTGTTACAAAATGCTATATATGTATATGAAATATGACTTAAAAGAAATTTGACGGTTTGAAGTTGGGCCTCTGTCTCTTTAAGAAGCTCCTGCTCTTTCTGACACTCTGCCTTCAGATAGTCACGACAACAGTGTTCACCCATTATGCTGTTTACAACCGTTCCTGTGAGATTTGGGCTGAGACTCGCAATTCTAATTGTGGTGTTTGCTAAATGCTGCTGTCCCTGCAACACATCCTGTCCCCCATTTACAAAATTTTAAAATCTTCTTCAGGCCTTGCAGATTGCCGGATTACATGGCAACTTCTGAATGGAGATGAATTGCTGGGCGGGGGTGGGGTGGGGGAGCTCAGGGTTTCCCTCAGAAAACCTGCTAAGCCTGGTGGTATGATTACTGAAACAATGGAAAGGTATGTCAATAGTCAAAGAAGTGTCAAAGTTGGGTTATGGCACCATTTCTCTTCCCCTGTCCAGGCCAGTACAGTAAAGTGTGTGCTGTAAGTGGGGAAAACAATACATGTAAATGCTCTCATTGTGTGCTGGAATGCATTCTTTTCCTCCTGGCTCCTTTCCTCGGTGTTCTCTAGGCACTGAGCGTCAAACGCGCCTTCCAGTCTGCAGAGATTTCAAACGCGACCTGATGCGACTCGACGTCGCACGAGACGTGTTCATCAGCGACCTGCGCCCACCGCCCGCGACCCCCCACCGTCCCAAAGCGTGCACGGCCCGGAGAACAATGAGACGCTCCCCTCAGCATAAAGGGCATTGTTGGAGGCAGAAGTAGGACAGACACACGCGAGGCACGTCAGGCATGTTCTCTGAGGCCCCACTATGGAATGTGCGACAAAGAGTGCATGCAGGCTGCAACAATTCTGGGGAAAAAAATGAAATAAATTGACAACTCGTTTCAGGGCGAACCGTTTATCCCATGTAACGCTTCAACAGCAACCAGCTACGGGGCTTAATTCCATCTTTTACGATATAAAGGCATTATGAACATCTGTGAGTCTGATAACTCGTTTCCAGTTATCTCACAGAACCAAGGTTGCTCCTTTATGCTGACTGTTTTTTTTCCTGGCAAGCTGACCCGTCTGTTTAGGAAAAAAAGAAAAAGAAAAAAAAAATCCCCTCCAACCTGCACCAACCTGGAGCGATTCAGCAGAGATAAGTCAACCATTTACACAAACAATCCATCTTCATTTTTTCCCATGACAAGTTATGATCTTTATGGAGATAAGGAAAGTTCCCTAAATACCTCAGATATCTCAATTTATCAAGATGGATTGATAATGTGACCTGATATTTCCACCAACACCCTCCTTTATTTATTTTATGAGCGTGTTGGATGGGATACGCATTCCTGCTTTATAACGGCAACACACCTAAATCCTGATATGAGCCGGAAAAAAACCCTGCAAACATACACGGATTAAACATGACCTGGTTGCTTCATTGCGTTTGGCTTGATGACACAGAGTAGTTTACAGCTCCCTCTGCTGCTGGTTTGTGGCACCGCATATAAAGCCCAGAAATAAACATTTTCACCTCATATATCCCACCTTCCATTGAAAAAATAGATATTTTACTTTAGGCAGTCAACCATTTAAATAAAACATTATGCAACAAGTTACGTTAAAGACCTACTTCAAGACATGGGTTTTCAAGCTTCAATTAAATAACAGGATCGAATCTAGTTCATGGATTTTATCTCAGTATTTTATGACATCACGCTTCAGAAACTAACAAAGGAATTAATCCTCCTTTCCTAAAATCTTGTCCTCTTGTCTCTGGATGTTGAACTCTTTGGAAGAAACTGCAGTCAGTCTACATTGGGTGGAAAAAAACCCTCTCCAGCTACACCACAGTGAGAACTGGAGTTCCTTAAGGTTGTGTACTTAGTCCACTCCTGTTCACAATAACAAATACAAACAAGAAGGGTTGACCAATAAATTCATTTAATCAATTAATCAAATTTCATTAAATTTTTGGAAAATCATTTTATTAACCCACCAAAGCACTCGTTGGGTTTTCATAGCGCCCATCTTGAGTTCCTGTCCCTTCAGAATCAGCAGCCAGGCAGGCTAACGAACGGAAAACATCAAGTGACCTCAGAAGCAGAAACCACCTAAAATTGCATCTTTTTATGTTTTATCCAGGTTGAAAACCTACGAGTAAAATGAGTAGATCTGAATTTAGTTAGCTCTATGCTAATTACTTTACATTAAATCACTTCTTGGTTTAATTTGAAGTAGCCTTTATAGAGTATGACATCAACATTAGAACTCAGCTTGTTCAATAATCCCTTACTGTGAAGCAAAGTCTAATGTTTTTGCTAATTAGCCCACATGCTAATTGGCGTGTGGTGCTAAAGTTCCACATGCAGAACTTTAGCACCTCTGAACCAAAGGAATGCCTGCATTGCCAGCCTTAGTGCTGTTTGTCTGTGTGTGTGTGTGTGTGTGTGTGTGTGTGTGTGTGTGATGGGGGGTGTTCACAGAACAAGCATGACCACATATCAAAGTAAAAAGTCAGAGCTCCGGCAAGCAGCCAACCACCACTTCTCTGTTCCCTGTAATAACAAAAATGCAAAACACTTTTTTTTTCTTTTCTTTTTTTCTTCTTTTTTCCCTCAGTTTATTTCCATTCTTTCAATGTGTCTCTGATTTAAAACAAAGCTATAAAAATGCATCTGGTTATGGCTCCGCTGGCCTCTGAGCCGTCCACATGGTCGACATTAACATTCCGCCAGGTTTCTAATGATGAGGGCGGCGCGGGGGGGGGGAGGCTTCATGACAGCGCTGGCATGGCGCACACATTCCTGCGCTGGACGAGCTGCAGACTGGGTGGAAACTGGGGACAGTAACTGTCCTCGAAACACAGGATAAACTTGGTAAAAAGGTCGACTTTTCCCAAAGATAACACCGAACACGTTCTCATGAAATCTGATTAACGTACCGGAGAAATCTTGATCGTTTCACACGTGTAGAGCGGGATTTTGATTTATGAAAATCTGAACTGAAGATCCTGACCAGACGGATTTCTACAAAGACGGCAAATCGGGAGAGTTCAAAGTCTCCGAAATGAGAAGCTAGTAAATCCCATCATCTTAGCAACATCACACATCAATACATCAACGCTAATATTAGCATTTGTCATGAATATTTGCGATACAATAATTGATATAACAAGTGCAATGTTTTCATAGTAATATTACTGGTTGATGAGATGCCATTCGATGCCCATATTTACTCATCTCAGCATGCTCAGTGCTTAAAGTGGCTCCAAATGCCAGCAGCGTGGCCTACTTTCTGATTCGTTCAGGTAATGATTATTCAACAACTAGAAGTCTCTCATAGAGCTGTGAGAGTTCATCCCAAGGTGGTCAGCTGATCCTTAAATACAAATTCCCAGAAACGACACAAGACGAGATGACGTCATGGCAACGCATCCTGCCAAGACCACGCCGTTCATCGCAAACAGATACGCTTGTGATTTTCAACACGTCAAAATGCGTAGTAAAGGAGGAAACGGTGCGTTCGACACTCATGAAACCATGAGCAGGTGTTCATTAATGAGTCAGCAGAGTCACACTCCTGTTTGGTACCGTTTATCAGATATGTTAAGGCAGAAGGGTGGGGTCACGGCGCAGAAGGCCGGGGTCACGGCTCAGAGCCGGAGCGCGCTCCAGAGCCGCTCCCCAGGAACCTGGACACCGTCCTGAAGTTGTTCTCCTTCATGCCGCGGATGTGGCTGTCCAGTTTCAGTCGCAGCTCGTTGGACCACAGGCTCTCCTCCTCCAGGAAACGAGACACTGCACTGCGTGCAGGGGACAGCGCCTCCTGGTGGACAGGAGCACAAACTTTAGAGCATTTCAAGGTGAGTTTTCAAACTTTCGGAATCACTTTCCAGATGAAAACAACACAAATGAGCCAAAGAAAGCAAGCTTCAATCCATTATTACATGAGATGACTTATTACAGTTAATAATGTCTTGTGATAGTAGTCGACATTTTACAGAAGGGTCAAGCTAAAATATAACAACTTTTTTGTCTCATACAATAGTTCTGCTTTGTTTATTTTTTTCCATGCGTTCATTAACATAACATTACACAAAAAAATGAAATAGAATAAAGAATAGGAGGTGTGGTGTACAGATATCACATTTAAATAACAAATTCCAGTAAAACTAGTACAGAGTCACAAATCTGGACATTTTACCTCAATAAATGTTTTTATAATCCATATTTGATCTGCTGCCAGTCATAGAGGGATAGAACACTTTTGCTTTAACTACCGTACTTCTTTGTGTTTTTTGGGTCGCAAACTTAAAATACCAAAAAAGCGTCTAGACTCTGAGTCCACTGGATACAGAAATCCAAATAAAAACTCATCCCACTTAAAAGGAATTTAAAATTAGATTTTGGTGATTCTCACTGACCTAAAACAAGAATCTAGTTTGATTTAACTTCAGATAATTAGAGAAAAAGTGGCTTTTTATCAGCTGTAGAAAAATATGGTTTCAACTGTAAATAACGTTTTCCAAATTTAAGCTTTTATTCAAAAGTTAGATTGCACTTTATTACAAAACTGTGCGGCTTGAATATCAAACACTTTCAAGGACTTTACACAGAAATCAAGAACTTTCCAAACCTTGAAAACATTGAATTGAATGCAAGTATTTTCGAGGATTTCAGGCAGACCAACGTATGAACCCTGTGGCCCCTGACTGCAGCTCGGTCATGGAAGAAGACTCACCTCTTGGCCTCTGGACCTGGAGGTCAGACAGTTTTCAGGGCCGGAGTTTTGGCCCTCAGCAGCAAGTCTGTGTGGAGTGACGGCTGTGGCTGAGTTTCCTCTGCTCAGTCCAGGGCTGCTGGTGGAAGAGGAGGCAGATGAAGAGGAGTGCAGCTGGCGGTCTTTGCGCTCTCGGCCAGGCGGCTCGTTGGAAGACTTTGGAAAGACCTGAAGCTCTTTAAAGAGCCTCTGGATCTTCCTGTCGCAGCTAGCGGACTGAGTCCTGCAACGACAGCCGTTCAGAGCGTTTCACCGTGGAAATGTTTCTGCTCCCCATGCGGACGCACCACCTACCGTTCTGGACCAGGCTGCACCTGTCCGGTCGTCATGGTGTGGCTGAGCGCGACGTGTCGGTTCCTCTCCGGACCCGTTTCACCCTGAGCGTCCAGCTGCACGTGGTGCTTAGCGAGCGCCTGCCTCAGCTGCTGGTTCTCCTCTTCCAGGCTGCTTATGGAGGTCAAGTAGCGCTGCTGCAGCATCGCAGCAGAGGATTCATCCCCCTGGGGAGAGACGGGTGATCGACGGATGAGTAACACAACCAAGAAAGCGCAGAACTTACTTTAAGGGGAAGGATCGACAAGCTTTCTGCAGGTTTCACCCACTTAAATTTGAGGCTTTTTAAGACCATTAATGAAATTTAATCCCTGTATCGCGACAGAAATGTACAAAAGAAAATCACATATTATATATAATAATATCTTTTTTGCACAGAATGCACCTGGCCTTATATGGGTGGCAACTGAAGATAAATTTACACTTACCAATGAAACTTTGATAGTGCAAGTATAAATAGATAGCTAGCTAGTAAGGATATGATAGCTATAGGGGTATGATGGCTAGCTAGCAAGGGTATAATAGCTAAGAGAGTAGCTAGTTAGCAATGGTATGATAGCTAGATAGATGGCTAGAAATTTGTCTTGGACATCATGTGCTAAACAAAGGTGCTACCACAATTAAGTACATTACAAACAATAAAAACACAATATTAGCAGGTAATTAGCGCTAGCCTCAACGACTTCAAGCCATAAGACGGAATGAAGATGTCTGTGTATGACTGAAACATTTGCCTGAAAATAAATTACATGGAATATACAAGAGTCCTGCCACAACAAGATTTAAGACCGTACTTAAACGTATTTAAGACCAATCAAGATTTTTAAAAGAAATGTAAAAACACTTTCAGATCTAAATTTTAGATGCACAAATTTAAGACTTTTTAAGGATGTGTGGTCACATGTTGGGTGATGAATGCTGAGAGACAAACCTTGGGAGAGCGGGACTGCAGCGTCTGCAGCAGACCTTTCAGATGCTCGTTCTCAGCCTGCAGAGTCTCCAGCTGCGCCTGAGTCATCTGAGTAACGTGAGAGGAAAGAATCCAGGTGGTTTCACTAAACCCAGCAGAAAGGTTAAACATTTGGTCTTGAAAAATGTGAGAGTCTCTCACATTTTGTTCTCTTTAACAGCTACAAATCGAAACGAAAAATCTGTAAAGTGTGGCATACATTTGCATTCAGCCCCATATACTCATATACTGTCATCTGACAGTAGGATGAAAATGACAATAAAGCAAACCTACCAAGACATGTTCACTCATCTAAAGCAACAGCCTGGCTAAGGTGAGCATTAATCTAAGAGGGATCCAAAAGAGAAGAGCGAGTAGAAAAATATCTTCTGGTCGGATGAAGCCAAAATTTTGTGGTCTA